TGCGATCAGTGCGTCAAGAGTTCTCATACACACGTTAATATAACGGACTCCTGTATGCCACCACAATCGTCTTTACCTTGATTGCAGTCTTCATCCATCAAAACTTTACTAGCGAGGCACTGGTTATCCAGTCGCGTCTCATCTGGCCATACAGTGGTGGGATGTGTTGACATTTCGTTCAGTCTGTACTTCACACGCGACGTGTGAGGGCTCGTGCTCTTCAGAGACAATCACAGAATATGACAGAGCTCGTGTTTAAAAGCGAAACACACTGGATACGCATGTTTTGGCGGGGTTCCCCTGGTAAAATTCGCATTCCAGGGGCTAAATATCACGTTAATGGGGTCGTTTTTTAACCCGCGGACATGAAAAACAACCTGCGGCAACAGTGTTAAAGCAGCCCAATTCCGCGGGAAAACCTCGGACTTGGCAACACTGGAAGTGGATAGCTTTCGGATAGCGCATCAAGAACCGGGTTGACCAGGTACTCGGTACCACCGGTACTTAAAAAAACCTGGTACCGTAACGTTTTCATTTTTTTAGTACCGACTTGGTACCGAAATACCGGGTCTTTTGACAACACTACTGGAATGAATAATTCACTGAAAACGCAACCCGAGTCTCTGTTTTCTCTGCAATCTCTGATGTAATCAGCATGGTTTCCTTTATATTAGCGCTGTTTTGGACGGATTGTTTGAATGCATTCGCTCACTGGATCATTGGACTGAAAACTTTCCCGGAGTTCAGCGGCTTAAAATGAACTGATCGCAAGCAGAGAAGCAAAATTGGGTTAAAGGCTTAGAATAGAAATTGTGCTTCAGTAATTTTGCGTTAATTGCATTAAATTATTTTAACGCGTTAAGAATTGTAAAATTAATCGCATGCGTTAACACGTTAACTTTGACAGCCCTAGTTAAAATGCATCATTTATATAACCCATGTACAGCCTACTCCTTTGGTTACTCTAAACCATTCCTTACCCTTTTCTTCCCTTCTTATAGTGGACTCCTGAAGGCAGGCGACTTGTAACAGGTGCCTCCAGTGGGGAGTTTACTTTATGGAATGGGCTCACATTTAACTTCGAGACAATTCTGCAGGTAACCAGAGACCATATTTTAGATTTGTGGCACACCACCTTTTCCTCACAACCTCAAAAGCTTGCTAAAAGGTCCTTATTTATTTATCCATATTTTTTTTTCTCTCATAGGCTCATGATAGCCCTGTCAGGGCAATGACCTGGTCTCACAATGACATGTGGATGTTGACTGCAGACCATGGAGGTTACGTGAAGTACTGGCAGTCCAACATGAATAACGTCAAGATGTTCCAGGCTCACAAGGAGGCGATTAGAGAGGCCAGGTCTATACACAATCTACCATTTTCTGTAGTTAACCCAAGCCGGTTACTGCCCCTGCAGGGGCAGTGGTCTGCCTTTAGGGGGTTCTCCTCAGTGCTGTTAGTTCTGATATACTCTTCCCTGTGCTGCTCAATGTTCATGTCCTTTATTATTGACACGTTTGTGTGTTGTTGTTTCAACACTGCATTTATGTCACCTGTGGTATTCTCATCTTTTATATACATAACTACTATGTACAGAAAAGGTGTATTTTCACACTTTTAAATAAAGTATTCCCAATTATTTATATTCTAAAGTGATTACATACAGTCTAGAAAAAATAAATAAATCTTAAAAAGACCCTCAGGGACTAAAGTGTTTTTGGAAGGGTTTTTAGAGCCTCCATAGTGGAGGAGTTGGACACATGTCTTTGCACTGGTCTATTTGTAGGAAATGTACACAACTTTTAAGTTTCGGTTCACAATGGTTTACCAGTGAGACAGGAGCTGTGCTGCCCCTACTGGCCATCAGAGTCTGTCACGCTTTCAGTCAGTCCCTAATAAAAATTCTGCCTCTAAATAAAGATTTCTGGGAATAAATAACTCACTTTGATACAACTCTACGGGTATAAATGCACATGGCAACATTTTCATCCACATTAAAGTCCAGGTTTATAATTCATTGACACTCCCTTTTATTTTGTTAACTCAGACACAATAGAAGAGCATGTAACATCCTTTCTAATGCAATAAAATGCATTTCTTCTACCATATTTTTAAAAACCAAAAAAGGAAGCCACAAATTTAAAGCCAGTGTTATCAGATCATACAAATGGCTCATGGGTTGAAGTAAAACAGACTGAAGAGAGGCTTCTGTTCACTTCAGTGTTTTTTTTGTTGGTTTTTTTATGCTTCTAAAAAAAAAATAGAGTGCATAGTAAGAACATCTGAGCACTATGGGTAATGTTTGTACTTTATGTTGTTAGGTGGAGTGATACTTCTGCCTTATTTCTGTGTAGACATAGTAAAATAATGGTGTATGTTTGAAGGTCAAAAGAGTGAGTTGGTGAACTGAGGCAGGCTCAGTTTTGCCAAATGCTTGAACCAGCTTGTGTGCCCTCTGGAAGGAAGAGCAGTCTGTGTAGGCATGATTGTATTTGAAACATACATGATTACATTTACTTATTGAACTAAAGTTATTACCTTTCATATGCTCATTCCATTTTCTGATTGTTGTACAGCAAGGCCCAGAATACAGAGAAATGTGCAGTCAGTGTTAAATGTCTTTCAATTCAGCTTGTTGTATTAAATATGCATTTAGGTAAGTTATGATAGGACTGTTCTGTAGAGTGAGTTGTCTGCTAAGGAGATGGATGGTTCCTTGTCTGATCCACTCAAAGGGCCCCCGCAGGGTGTAAGGTGTCCACCCCACAGAGATCTGCTATGTTATCCTTCATTGTTGATTCTCTCCCTGCTGTGTCTTCAGTTTCTCTCCTACGGATAATAAATTTGCCACTTGCTCTGATGATGGAACTGTACGCATCTGGGACTTTCTGCGCTGTCATGAGGAAAGAATTCTGAGAGGTATGTTATATAAGATGTGGAGATATTCACAATCACAAACACTTTTACACTTTTAAACAAAATTACACTGACATCTGGGTTCACAGTCTTCACATTACCTTTCACACACATCTGCCAACTTTACCATGGGCTGTCAGTATCAGTTTTTTGTTCCTTGTTTGTTTTTGTTTTGTCTTTGTTTTTTCTCTTTATTTTACTTTTTTTTGGCCATTTACATGGGTCTGCAATAATATTCATTAGACCTTGTGTTTGAGATTGTAACTAATATTTGACTGATAAAGCACTGAACCTGATAAATCCTTTTTTATAATATAATAATGATAAAAGCATAATTCTCTGTATGTTGACTATTTTGTACCTTTTTTTAAGGAATGCATGTTCTTTCTATTGAATTTTCAAATATATATATAAAAAACTTTTAAAAAGACAGTTGTTCATTTTGGCGTAATTTAAAATATCTGCATTTATTACAATGCTATGAAGATGAGGTATTGGTCCCTTTCAATACCAACAACATGTATAACCATGTAGACATGTATAACTTGACCTGTACCATTTAAAAATAAATAAATCAACCTTAAATGCACAGACATCATCACATGATAATAAACTTATTTCAAATAAAACTGAATAATAAAAAGGTAATGGTAATAAAACATTTCATGTTTGTATCTTTTATATGCAATAGAGTGTGAGTAATGCAAAGAATTTATGTGAGTGACTGGGTATTGAAGCTTTCTGGTAAAATAAAGATTAAAAAATATATTGTGCTTAATACCTGTACATGTTAAGCCAGTGAAAAAACGCCCTGAATTCCAAACATTTAGTAAAAAAATATATATATATATTACATTTCAATCTCAATTAAGGAAGGCACAATATTGTTTTGACAGTTAAAAATGTTCAGACTTAGGACTATAATCAAATATACACAATGTTATGTGAAAAGGTGAAAAGCATAGGTTTTACACATTGTAAGAACTTTCACATTAAATTAAATATATCTCGACACGTCAGTTTCCAAGTGCTACATGTCTTTGAGCTATGACACTGTCCCATTTGCAGTGATCTGGACTCGTATCAACAATAGAAATAGGACTTTTAGTCATGCTTTTTTTATCGTTATTTTAAAAACATGTATTGTACTGATTTGCATCAGAACAGAACACATTCTTTCAAAACAGATTTTCGCTCTTTAACTAACTTTAACTGTAGACTTTCCTCCTTTTCCTCATGTTTGTGCAAACACGTGTTCATTTATCTCAGTCAAATAAAAACACAGCTGTTAAAGGGTTAGTTCACCCAAAAATGAAAATTAGGCCGCGTTTTACTCAACCCCGAGGCATCCTAGGTGTATATGACTTTCTTCTTTCAGACGAATCCAGTCGGAGTTATATTAAAAATTGTCTTTGATCTTTCAAGCTCTATCATTGCAGTCAGCGGGTGTTGCATCGCTTCAGTCCAAAAGAAGTGAAATAAAAAGCGCCCATCCATAAAGTGTCTCACACGGCTCCGTGGGGTGAACAAAGGCCTCCTGTAGCGAATCGATGCGTTTTTGTAAGAAAAATATCCATATTCAAAGTAACTTCTTTTGGACTGAAGCAATGCAACACCCGCTGACTGCAATAATAGAGCTTGAAAGATCAAAGACAGTTTTTAATATAACAATAATAATATAACAATAATATAAATAAATAATAATAACAATAATAATTTTTAATATATTAATAGAATTTTTAATTCGTCTGAAAGAAGAAAGTCATATATATACCTAGGATGCCTCAGGGGTGAGTAAAACGCAGCCTAATTTTCATTTTTGGGTGAACTAACCCTTTAAGGATTCATGCAGCTTCACCTAGACATTAAGAATAACAGTCTCATGCTCGCGTAATTGTTTTTGTGACAATCAATTGCACAATGTGCCCTTTAAAATAATGCCACCTTTATTTGTTAGTAGAAGTGTCCCATTTCTCAATATGCTTTTTTGAGATTTATGATTTTTCAGTGGCATTAGAAATGAAGTTTGATCGAACATAATTTTTGTTCTGGCTGTTATTTACCTTGTCTTTGCTCATTATAGAATTGTAATCAAATTATATAGCATATGTATGATCTATATTATGTAATGCAAAATTTATGATCAAACGTTAAAAAAGGTGTTACTCTAACATAATGTTGCTCTGAAATAAGAAAGAAAAATGTGTGCAAATACACTGTTTCTCTTTTATTGTCACACACTCATTCAAACTTGCATGTGTTTCCAGGTCACGGAGCAGATGTGAAGTGTGTCGATTGGCATCCCACGAAGGGCTTGGTGGTGTCCGGCAGCAAAGACAGCCAGCAACCTATTAAATTTTGGGACCCGAAGACTGGACAAAGTTTGGCAACACTGTAAGTAAGCAGACCCCTGTAAGACAGAAAAATATTGTAATCTTTGTTGCCCATGCCCAAATGTTTTGACAGGTGTTAACAGACATAGTAAGTTAATTTGCTGCATTGCAAATCTTGGTTTTTGAGTTTGAGTACTTAATCAAGTAAGACAGATTAAGAAGGGCTACTAATTTTACTGTTGTGTTTTGTTCTCAGACATGCACATAAAAACACAGTCATGGAGGTGAAGTGGAACCTCAATGGCAACTGGCTATTGACGGCGTCACGTGACCATTTATGCAAACTGTTTGACATTCGCAACCTCAAAGAGGAGCTGCAGGTTTTTAGAGGACATAAGAAAGAAGCCACAGGTATAATCCTAATGAGAATGTGTATTAATCTTGTGCAGGTGAAGCAGTGTGTTGTATAGATATACATTGTATACATATGTTTTCTCTTTTTGGTTGCAGCTGTAGCTTGGCACCCAGTTCATGAAGGCTTGTTTGCCAGTGGAGGCTCTGATGGATCACTGCTATTTTGGCATGCAGGGTAAGCACCGTTCAGATCCTCTTTGTACCGTATAACCATATACGGTAGCATTACTCAAAATGTAATAATATGTGGAGTAGCTTCAAATTTTGTGTTATTTGACTGCTGAAGTTGTTGGAATATTTTGCTAGTGTGGAGAAAGAGGTGGGAGGAATGGAGATGGCTCATGAAGGAATGATCTGGAGTTTAGCCTGGCATCCCCTGGGCCACATCTTGTGTTCTGGGTCTAATGACCATACCAGGTAAGTGTGCGTCAAAAAACATGCATGTAGCGACCAAATGTGTCTATTAGGGTTGTTACATTTACCAAAATTTCAGTAGTTAATACCAATACCTGTGAAATTTCACAATTCTGCCAGTTTTGTTACCACAGCAAAAAATAATATGCTATTGAACACACTCCTTTATTTATAGTTAAATTTTACTAGACAAATTAAATAAACGTAAATGGCCAGAAACAAAAAATGAATAACTATAAACCTAAAATGCTTTAGTTTGCATAGACTTTAGCTCATTGCTCTGTGATCACTTCCTCAGCAAATTTTGGACAAGAAATCGGCCGGGGGACAAGATGCGGGACAGATACAATCTGAACTTGTTGCCTGGAATGTCAGAAGATGGAGTGGAGTATGGTTAGTATTGACCTCTTGCAATTTAAAAGCCCTATAGAGGATGTACATATGAATTCATAATGCTTTATTTTGGGTAATTCTAGATGACATAGAGACCAATAGTGTTGCAGCCATTCCTGGCATGGGGATCCCAGAACAGCTGAAGGCTGCCATGGAACAAGAACAAACTGGTTAAGAAACTAATACATGCACAGTCAATATTTATTGAAGTTCAGTTGGTTGGTTATTTATAATTGGTAGTTATGTGCTCAGGCAAAGAGATGGTGGCAGAGCCAGAGATGAGCATTCCAGGGCTGGACTGGGGAATGGAAGAGGTCATGCTGAAGGACCAAAAAAAGCCCCCGACTAAAAAGGTTCCTTATGCAAAGCCAATTCCAGCTCAGTTTCAGCAGGTCAGTATGATCATTTTATACATAGGTTTTGGTAGCACTGCCAGACTAGATGTGTGTTCCTCAATTTTTGATTTACTCAATAGGCCTGGGCAGAGAATAAGGTTCCAGCGATGCCTCCTGGAGAGGTTCCAAAGGAAAGGAAGGATGAGAAGACAGTAGATGGCAAAAAGAAGACACAAGCAGAGATTGAGCAGGAAATGGCTGCCCTGCAGTATACAAACCCAATGTTGCTTGAGGTCTTTAAATATGATTACATTTACAGCTTTAGCATTGTGCTGTAAAAATGTAAATAAACACTGTATTATGCATATACACTGCTTAATTAATTAATAAAGAAATTATGTTTTTGTCCATAGCAACTGAAGATTGAGCGAATGGCACAGTTGCAAGAGCAGGGAATGCCTCCCCCTGCTGGACAGTCAGGGCCAATGCCACCCTTTCCAGGGCAGGGTGGTCCGATGCCCCCACCAACACAAGGCTTCCCTCAGTCCATGCCTCCACAACAAATGCCGCACAACATGCCTCCAATGGGACCAGGTGGAATGCCTGGTCCTTTCATACCTCCAGGCCAAATGGGTCCACCAGGACCTCCCATGAACCAAGGTCCCCCTCCTCAGGGCATGATGGGTCCAGACATGCACGGACCTCCACGTCATCCAGGCTCTCACAGGAACATGGGACCCCAGGGACCTCCTGGCATGCCGCCTGTCCCCAGAGGCATGCAAGGACCTCCCCTAACAGGAATGCCCCCAGGTTCTGGTGGACCTCCAGCCGGTATGATGGGACCACCACGAGGACAGGGACCACCACAGGGAGGTATGATGCATCAGGACATGAGGGGGCCTGTGCCTCATGGAAACATGATGGGCCCTCAGGGACCCTTGCCAGGGAGTATGATGGGGCCTCCACCGAGGACTCATGGTAACATGCAGGGAAATATGCATGGAATGGGGCCTCCTCCAGGGGGTATGCATGGACCACCAAACAACATGCAAGGGCCACCAGGAAACATGCAAGGACCTCCAGGCAATATGCAGGGCCCTCCACCATATATGCAAGGCAAACAACCACACATGGGTGATGGAAACCGTGGACAGTTTAACCAGGTGAAGAAACAGTTGGAGTAAACACATCCACGAATGTTTAGGACAAAAAGATGCAACTGAATAAAAGTCAGGGTAGATTCTGTTGCTGAAATGTTATGCATGTCTTCCAGGGACAGAATCCTGGGCCTCAATCAATGATGCATGGAATAGGACAGCAGGGTCCTAACGGGAAAGGTAATACTCGGTGAACAACTCTTGTGGGAAGAAAAGTTATTCATATGCAAGATAATTTAATCAAGACTACGATGTGAGAGTTAATAGCGACTTGTTTGCGGTTTCCCTTTCTATTTGTGTCAGGAGATGGTCCTCGAGGACCACCTAACCACCACATGGGACCCCCAACGGAGCGACAAGGCCCTGGTCAGGGCTCAGATGGAGGCCAGTACTGGGGTGATGATGGGGGTTATCAAGAGGGCTGGAGAAGAGGTCCTGGACAGGAATACTCTTTAGGTCACAGAGGAATCTCTGGAGGCCCATGGGAAGGCCAGGAAAGGTTTCCCTCGCATGATGGAGAGTACATGGGACACGACAGGTGTGTTTCATTCAGCACTATGTAAACCTAGAAAGATGATTTTATTAAATTGCCGGAGTCCGGGGGATTAGAATGTGAAATTTGTGCGTGGTGACACATTTTTACAGGTATGATGAGTATGAGGACTCTGGTGAGGAGTTTGACCAGAGGCAGAGACGGCCACATCATGGAGATGACTCGTAAGTGTTGCATGCCATCGGAGATGTAGTCCACAATTAGCTTTACTGTGTACTGACAAAGAAAAAACATAGCTATTATTCAAAAAGATTCTTAAGTCTGAAACACTGGAAACTAAAGCCTGGGGTATGCTTCTGCCTGTTATGTCTCTTGCAAAGTTGAGTGTTTTAAAATATACTCTTTTAATCATGATCCTGTACAGACATGTTCAAGATAGTCACACTATGACTGCTTTGTGATACCTTACCTGTCCCTTCAGAAGATGAGAGTAGAAGAGTCTTTTATCTTGCTTTTATTAGCATATTCCATCTTCTTAAACTGGTTCTTAAAAGCAAACTTCAGTGTTGCCACCTAGTTGAACCACCAGTTGGGATTTTCCACCAAAAGTTAATTTACTTGATTCCAAGATTAATCTTGCAAACCTTTATAGGCAGGATTTTTGATCTCTCACCGGCATTGTCAACTGATTGATAAATACATGGTCTTTATTGTCTGGCTCTGAATGTGCAGATACCGGAGGGGTGGCCTGAGTGGCCGTGGTGGAATGGGTGGCTACCAAGATGAGTATGGTGGAGATGAGAGCTTTGATTCTCAAGAAGACATGGGCCAAGGTTGGGGAGGAAGAGGAAGACCACGTGGTGGGCCGCCAAGAGGAGGTAAAACCTTTTCCATTCACCTGTCCATCAGCCCACCTTGCGTCCATTAAAACTGAGGTGTCAGGTTTGAACATGACATCTTTCTTAGGTGGTGTAGGAAGAAAGGGGCTTCTCCCAACTCCTGATGATTATCCCTGTCACTATGAAGGAGGAAGAAACCAGGAGGGCTGGGAGGGAGGGCGAGATTCAGGTAGAAGTGCATGAAGGGGATGTCAATACATGTTCTTGTTGCAGTGCAGTTAGTCATACTTGAGCAAATTCCTATTCTTTCACTGAGGCCATAAAGCTGAGTGCACACTACATGATTTTAGCCCACATTTTCCAGTCACAGACAATTTTTGAGATCTGCAACAACAAAAAAATAAGATCAAAGCCAAATTGGATGACAGGCTGGTTAGGAATGAGCATTCCATCATGTTCTATGACTTGCCTCAGAAACAAAAGCAATGTAGAGAGAGCAGTGGCAAGAAATTACCAATGAGAAGGTTACAGGAAACCATGGGATCTATTAAGTATTACATTAAATTTTAGTATAGCATTAAGTATTACTAGTAATATGAAATGTAGATGATAACAGGATATAGTTTGTGGGCATCCTTTAACCTAACTTGGAGTTCTTTATGAAGAACGGAAAGCCCTTGTTGCCCATGTCTGTCTTAAACATTTTAATTTGCTCCATTTTCATTTCTTTGTCACTTTAGCTTCATTTATCAGCACAAATTAAAACTTAAAACAAAGAGCCTAAGACTGCCATTGTGGCAGCGACTTGGAAAGATTGTCACTTTTTTTGGATGTTTTAATGAGATTAAATTCATGCTGGTGTGTGTGTATGTGTGTTCAGGTCATGAGAGTTATCGGGATGGTCAGCGGCCAGACCACAATATGCTTGACGGTCCTTCTCCAGCCAGTAGAGAGCGTTCCTCCTCTCTACAGGGCATGGATATGGCCTCTCTGCCGCCACGCAAACGGCCATGGCATGACGGACCGGGCACTGGTGACATGGACTCCCCTGGTGCAGGGCCTGATGACAGAGGAGCGGGTGAGGGATGGATAAGTGACAATGATTTGTTTTAATGTAAAACACACAAGGCACTCTGTATACTAATACTATCTAACTCACCATAGGCCGACCATCACCAAGAGACGAAGGTGTGTTTGGACCTCCATCACGGGGAGGAAGAGGTGGTTGGGGCCGAGGTGGACCGCAAAACCCAGGTGGTTCTGGTCCCAATGTGGGTCCAAATACCAGGCGAGGGGCTCCACGTGGTGTTATGAGGGGAGGTCGCGGACGGTAGGAATGGTCACACCTGCTTTCCGGGCACAATGGGGTAAAACCGACTACAGTGAGGACAGGGTAAACAAAGAACAACACATGGCTACAATACCAGCTTCCTTGAGGGTCTAAACAATTATGCAGGCTTGGACCGAAGTCTGGAAGCACTTCACTAAAATCAGCATGGAACCCTGATTGGTGATTAAGGTTTAGCTTTTTCTCTATGATGTATTGGACGGTTGGTGGTGGTACCAATTATCCAGGGCCAGATGTTTTGGCTCACGATGCCCCTTTCTATCTGCTTGGTGTACACGTTACATGGCGTTTGTTCTAACCTTACATCAGCACTGAGAATAATAACTGATGTAAGAGGGGGCTCATCATGGTGCAGTGAGGAACATCTTTTATAATGGACTAATGATTGTGGTCCAGGAAACTTTATTTGTGATGCATGGTACAATTTTGTAAAATCTTAAGAGACATCCCTTCCCTGCACTGAGCAGCTGATCTGCTTTGTGATTCACTCGGACAGTGGCAGCTGAATTTGTACCAGCACCTGAGCCCCCTCTTTTTTTTTTTTCCTTTTTTTTTGGCTTTAATGCTTCTGATGTATAAAACACAATGTTTTGTGTACCATTGAATTCCTCAGTCAGATTCTGTCATCCAGCAAATGCAAGTCAATCTAGGTGAGGGCCGATGTTGAACTGGCATCATCTTGTGGACTGTCTATTATTAGAGAAAAGTGGACTCTTGAATGTGTAATTCCCCCAGTGTCTCAGCACTGTTTATTTAAGTTCATTTTTATGTAAAATAATGGATGTAATCTTTCTGTAACCTTACGAGGCTACTTTGAGTGACAAAGTTGCAGACTTTGTTTCTGTGTGTACAGTTTGTCACAAAATTTGTCATTGTTTTGTCCTTTTTTGTATGAAACCATAATAGACTGTGCAAAATGTATGTAAACTCTCTCTGCTCTTGTCATTTCTTTTTCACCCACTCCTTAGTTGGTCCTTAGGAGTGTGGTCACACAAGCCCGAGATTCTCTATTGGTCACGTCTTCTCATTGTGAATTCACAGGCAGTTCACAACATTTAATTTTTTAAAAGCAGTGGATCTGAATACTATACACTAGGGCTGGGCGATTTTCCCGATTTTATCGATTAATTCGAATTTATTTTTTAGAAATCGAGGAATCGCGAAATATTACCAAATGTTAGAATTAGACACTTTGACAATATGCCGGTGATAACAGTAAAGAGAAAAGAACGATCCAACCGCATGTCGAGCACGTGATTAACCGCTCACGTGTGACGCGCTCTGTGAAGGACCATTAATATAGTGCTAAGCGTCATTCACACAGTGCTTTTGTTTTGACGCGGGCAGTGGAATAGGTAAAACATGCAAGAAAATGGGAGTGAACTTCTTTTAACTTGAGCGCAGTGTTTTTAGAATGGCGTTTCATGCAAGAGACACTGCAAGAGATGCGAGCGCAACAGTCAAACACATCCATGTTTACACAGAAAAAACAATGGAAAAGCAGCGCAATCGAATAAAAAACCTGTAAAGAACTACAACTGTATGTCTGATATTTCATGTTTGCATCATGGTGACAGGCTGAAAGCTGCTGTTCATTGTTTTTACAGAACATTTATAGCCTAGTTAATAATAGTTAATAATAGTCTACTGGTGTTATACCTGCAGTCATTTTGAATATGAATTACCTTGACTTTTGAGATTTTTTTAAAGCATTTTCCTTGTATTATTTCTGAACATATAATATGTATAAGACAAGTTTGTACAATATGTAGTTGTAGTTTTTGCATCTTTTCACACGTCCATGTTTACATAGAAAAACAAAGCAAAAGCAGCGCAATCGAATAAAATACCTGTAAAGAACTACTTCTGTATGTCTGATATTTCATGTTTCCATCATGGTGACAGACTGAAAGCTGCTGTTCATTGTTTTTACAGAACATTTATAGTTAATAATACTCTACTGCTGTTATACCTTCAGTCGTTTTGAATTTGAATTACCTTGACTTTTGAGATTTTCTAAAAGAATGTTCCTCCTGTTATTTCTGAACACAGTATGTATAAGACAAGTTTGTACAATATGTAGTTGTAGTTTTTGCATCTTTTCTGCAAAGATATTTAACAAGTGATTTGTTTAACATTTACACCATGTTGACAACTTCATGTGTGCTGCACTTGGAATAGAATTTTCTTTAACTAGAGGGTTAATAAAGAAAAAGTAACTTGAATCATGTTGTAGTCACATTTTCAAGTTGACTAGTTAAAAATCGTAAAAAAACGAGAATCGGTCAAACATTCTGGAAAAAATTGAGATTTAAATTTTTTGCTAAATAGCCCAGCCCTAACCACCACATACCCAAGTAAACAGGCAGAAATGCCCAGAACCTTCCAAGACTTCCAGAGTCTTCCACTCCACCCAAAACTTTGAAGGAATGTTGCCTGAAGACAATGTCCATTTTTTACACGTCAAGCTATGTTGGTTATTGGTCGAAATAGGGCATCTGTTATTGACCAATATTGCATATTTATCGGAAAAATCGAGATTTAAATTTTTTGCAAAATCGCCCAGCCCTACTATACACATTAACTTGCATTTCCAGTCTCCCCCAATCGCATGTGTATGACTGGTCAGTGGAGCGAAAAGTCAACCGTGACTGCCCTTTAGTTCCAACCCTGTGATAATATTATTTTTTAATTACCTACCTTGATTGATTCAAGAATGCTGTTTAGAGTTGGATCTAAACTTGGCAGGAAGGTAGATCACCGGGAGAACACAGCAGTCCTGCTTTGAACACTGTCTTGACCAGATTTTACATAGTGACAATCGATCTCTAAAGCTATCGCTTCTGTGATTTTTCTCCTAACCAAACATGGCAAATGGCACTAATTTTTGGTTTATATTTATGCATTATGGCATGCGGTAGCTCTGCCCACTCCAAAAATGCATTTTCACAAAACAATTAAAAGCATTCTATCTGGCAAAGCATCATGAAAGTCATAAATAGAAGGTATGTGTTAGTTTTGTTTATTTGCAGTGTGTCATGCCAAAAAGTTTTGTCAATAGTGAATGAAGCCCAGCTCACACAGAAGTCACTTTTAAAACAAGCAGTTTTCTGCTAGTCAACACACAATGTTTGAGGAATGTTTTTGCCCTTAAAGGAGACATATGCCCCTTTTTACAATATGTAATATAAGTCTCTGGTGTCCCCAGAATGTGTCTGTGAAGTTTCAGCTCAAAATACCCCACAGATCATTTATTATATCATTTTGAAAATGCCTATTTTGAGTGGAAGCAGAAACACGCTGTTTGTCGTGCCGGTCTCTTTAAATGCAAATGAGCTGTTGCTCCCCGCCCCCTTTTCCCAAAAGGGTCTGGCTGCAGCTGACGCTTGCACTCTCAGACCTGCATTCTCAGGCTTGCACTCTCAGGCTTGCACTCTCAGACACTTGCACTTCCGCTAGCGACGTCACTTGCAGTCTTTATTATTTTTTATTTTGTTCTATTTATTGATTACTTTTTGTTTGAATCTCTCAACATTTTACAACAGTAGCCAGGTGGTGAAGACAAGAAAAAAGAAACTAAATAAAAAGTCACTTGCAATCGCCACTTGCACTCTCCGATACCTGCGACGTCACTTGCAATCGACACAAATCGTGCGTGTTGCCAATGGAGACAAGACGCTGTGGTGGTGATTTAATGATTATTTTATTTATTTATTTAGTCATTTATTAGAGGCTTTTATCCAAAGCGACTTACAAATGAGGACAACAGAAGCAATCAATTGTAGTATTAAAACAACTAAAAACAGATCCAAAACTAAAAGCTAAAACTTTATAAATACTACCTATACACATTTTAAAAATAAAGAGATTAAATAAAAATGACAAATGCATACAACAAAATTTCAAAACTTAACATTTAAAAGAGCCATGGCATTAGAGCTGGTACACCGTTGTCGCTTGCGAAATCAAAATGATTTTGGCGCCGTGGGTGGAAACTTAAAGATTAAGGGGTGGTAATATTATAATGAGATCCCTTTGCAACGTCACTAGGGGAGTGAAATCAGATGCGCTCGTTTTTTCAGACACTTTCAGAAAAAGGCTTACCAAAACAAAGTTACTGGGTTAATCTTTTTCACCTTTCCTTGGTTGGTAGATGCACCGGGGACCTGATTATAGCACTTAAAACCTGGAAAAGTCAGATTTTCATTAGATGCACCGGGGACCTAATTATAGCACTTAAAACCCGGAAAAGGCAGATTTTCATGATATGTCACCTTTAAGCAAAACTCCCGATTTTGTGTATTCCTATTGAAATGACTGGATTTGACAGAGCAACAGAAAAATGTGTTTACACCTTTACTCTGGTCCAGGATTGCCTCAGCACTGCACATTTTGAATGTAACTCTTTTTCAACATGCCTGATTTAACTCGTCAGCTCATTAGTAAAAGCTCCAGAACCTATAGCCTACTGCGTATCATGGGAGACAATCAAAGAACAGGATGGAGAAACATTGCTACACATTTATGACCACCATATATGATGCAGAAGTGATCTGTCCTTAAATAAATGGCTTACCTTTAATCAGACCACATGACTTGAAGAAGAAAATAAGCATTGTTAATTAAGTTTATTTACAAAAAGTTAAGTTTCAAAAGCAGTTCAGAAACATTAAAAGGTAAGTAGTATTTGATGTCTTGGTCATACGCATGGTCCCTGTCTCAGTGCAAGTCACAAAACTTCCTTCTGTGGATATCCCCATCCACAGATTGAGGGTCACGTTAAACTCCTCATTATAGGCTACAGGCAGAGTTTCACAAACATTTCAGTACCAGCAAAAAAGAGCAAAAACAGTATTTTCCATGATAAAAATTGTCTGTTGCCCAGTCCGTGAAATGCCTGATCATACAGGCATGGCCTTACTGGTCACAGTTCTTTTAATAGCGGACGCTGCCGTGCCACCCACAAACCTCATGCATATTTGTTGTGCCCATTTTCGAAATGCCAAATTATTACCCCTCTCATTGAAATCGCTATCTGATTGCCTAATACTAACCCCACCCCTAATCCTAACCCCTCCCCCACACCTAACCCTAAACCTACCAATACTAGGGGGGTAATAATCTGGCAGGGGTCAGAATTGGGCACAACACCGGCACTCCCACCCGGCAACAAAGCCACGATGTAACCCAGCAAGCAATAGCCGTAATTTCAACGTCTCGGTTAAGTATAGACCTAATCATTTAAATTAGCATTATTTAATATTTTATTTAATTATTTTACAGCATTATTGAATGTAGCATTATTTATTATGCCAAAAATAATGCTAATTTAAATGTTTCAAAAGTTTACTTGCATTTGATAATATGATGTCATGCATCCCACAAGCTGTTAAATGTTACAGTCATACACATTACATGATTCATTGATATTCGGCTGTCTTTCATTTTATATATAAAAATGCAATTACAATTCCTAACCGCTAGATGGCAATTGTAGCCCTACTGAGACATGACTACTGGCAACGCA